ATGATAGAGATTTTAACCAGAGCTCTTCCATCAACTTATAACAGATTGGAGGGAAATTGTTTTGGTAGGTTTCACTAGTTCATTTCAGGTATAAATGCTTACAAATTTAAAGCAATGAGACCAGCAACTTTTCAAACTGTCATTTGTACTGTTTTGACCAAGGTTAGTCTAGCACTTTGAGTATTCTCTCTATTCCTTTTATACCTTAATAGCTAAAAATAAGTATCCATGCCAGATTATTTCCATCAGAAATAATGTAGGGAAAAAACTATACATTATTGTCTTTGACCTTTTATGCTGTCATAATAAAAATGCCATCTTATACTCAAAAATGACAATGAAAATTACTTATATTGAATTAATGAACAGAGTATAGTAGAAATCAAGACTGGAGACCCAGGCTGGTTATGGAAAACTTATACCCAAAAAGTGTTTATTAAATAAATGAATTTATAAGTATCATATGATATAAAAGGCCTCAGGCTTGTTGTGGGCAGCCATGAACCAGCTTATGACCTCAAAGAGCAGGTAGAAGTTGGAAAGCAACTTCCAGGCATGAGAAGAACACTGGACTAGAAATCAAAACATATATTTGCCCACACAGTGACTACACAACTGGAAACTAAACTATCTCCTTTAGTTTTTATTTGTTCATCCATAATTTGAGTGTAGAAGGAGAATCCACATGTTAAGACAAAATCAACACATATATAATTATCAAGCATGGTACTGAAAACATAATAATTAGTAAGTGCCAGTTAAATGGTATGTGTGTATGTAAAACACAAGGTAGAAAGTGGTTAAGTCTGTAATAATTATATGTGCTACTAAGTTATCATGACTGATAGAAATCACATAGCCAAGTCATTGATGTAATTCAAGGAAAAAATCTTATTTCTCTCAATATGACATCAATTTTATCCTCTTGCACCAATCATCTAGATCTTTTATCTTAGGTCGTGTGCCTTGCTGTTTATCAATAACAGCTCCTCATTTTAGAGAGTGCTAGAGTTTATTCCGCTTAGGCTTGAAGCCTGGATTTAGATGAGCATTTTAAACTCATGATGAAGAGCAGAAAAGTATTCTGTTTTGCTTAATGTGGCAACATAAATTGAGTTAGACCACATTATGCCTTGGCACATTAATTCCTGTGGTAATGTAGAATGATTTTCAAATACGTTAGGTAATCAGTTGATCGAGCAGAAGAAATTGCTAAAACAACAAAATCAGCCCACCCTGTGATTTCACAAAATTCATTTACCTGATCAGACCATATCTACAGACACATAGTAAAAACAGTTGACAGATTTTAAATTTGAAACAGATTCAATGCTGTGAGTGACAAAAGTCCACAGCTGTTTTTAGACTAGTAGTGCTTCCTTCTGCTTGGTTCCTGCTCTTTGCTCATACACCTTATTCTAGTCCTCGTTTCCATAACCGGGATGTTGATGGACAGCCCCTTAACAAATAATGCTCCAAAGGAGCAATTGCCTCTTAGATGCCTATTAATGGTGTTGGGCTTGGAACCAAGGATACGGCTATGTAAGACCTCAGACATTCCTCTTTTACCGCATGGAAAAGAAAGAAATACTTTTTAAGTTAAAAGGAGTTCATTATCATGATTTGCAGTCTTTATTGACTGGGGTGGTTTAGAAATTGCATCGAGATAAGAGTATTTTCCTAAGTGTATGTATACATGTGTTATTAGCTGTTACCACCCAAATAAACAAACAAAAAATAGTGTTTCGTGATCAATCAAGCTTGGGGAATGAAAAGTCAAATAAATGAATGTTTTAGTGTAGGAAAAATAATGTCTTTATTTAAACTACTAACATCTAGGATAAATCTCTAAAAGGAGTGTAGGCAAGACTTAATTTCCTAAACTTATTTGGGTTTGGAAACCTTATTTTATACTGTTCCTCGTGCAATTACTATGAAACATGTTTTTGGAAATACTGACCAATGAGAATAGACATATTATTTTCAGACGTTGATGTTTCATACTCTCCATAAAAAGTAAATAAGTAAAAATCAGGTAACTTTGCTTTTCAAGGAAATTTACTACCCTTAAGGATGATTACTCGATTCAATAATTATCAAAGAATTAGTGATTTAGATTCTGCTTATTCACCATAAAAATGGTTCCCCCAGATCAGCCCCCCTTTGCAACCCAGAGTGAGTTTTCTAGAGAGGGGATTATTCACAAGTGTCCATTTGTGAATGCAGGGCAATGCTGAATCTGTTGTTCCACCAGCAACTGCACCTCTGAAGATGGTCTACTCATCTTTATGTTTAAACTTAGGTTCCACATTTGGGATTTTAGTCTCCACATTGATCTTGCTTATATAAATGCTCCACAAAAGCTTTTCTTAGGTAAAAGAATGGTTCAAAACTATCTTCGGAACACTGACCTTTACTAGTTATACTATTGAGACAGATCCAGAGGGATCAATAGGGTTCATATACAGTTGTGTGCTCTTTTGTTCAAGGATGGCAAAGCCATGTAATAGTCATTCACATTTCCATCTCCCTATACACTTTAAAAATTTTTTGATCAATACACAATATTTGTACAGGGTGATATTATAATGCATGCATACACTTTTGTTTATCAGTGATTAACATTTCCACCTGATACCAATAAGGTCCTGCACATCCTGCTTCTCTTCAAGGCTAAATCATGGGACTGTGATAAGTAGGAATTCCAAAAGCAACCTTATTAAGAAAGGTTTCTCATGTCCTTATATATGCATACATTTCAAAATCCTGCCTTTCACTCCAGGAAATAAGTCTCACCCAGAACATTCCTGTTGCATTATTCTCAATTAAGGGAGAGGACACAGATCAAAAGCTCCTCCTCCTCCTACTTCTTTCTCCTAAGTTATTTGTCCTTTTGTCAAGTTAGAGACCTAGGAGACAACTTTAATTTCTTCCTCTTTATTTCTCTCCATTATCATATTGGTGCATGTTACTTTAGGAGGACCATATATTATATTCCTAGCCAAAAGTTTTGTGCATTTGCCTAAAATGCATAAGCAATTATTGACAAAGGATAAGATCATATTAATTTTATTAGATAAATTGAGTTGGAGAGATCAAGATGTGGAGCACTGAAACTGGTCTAGAGGCTGTAGCCAGAGGGGAAAGAGGGGTGGACATATATTTGAAAGATACCTAAATGCAAATATTCAGAATACTGGACACAATATATTGGGGATGAAGAAGGGGTGGAATCAGGATGATCTCTAGTTTCTCATCCAGACAATTCATGGATAATTGTGCAATGCAAAAAAATTAACATGTTCAGATGTGCTAGTGTGGCTAGTGTGGTGGTATGGAGAGAACACACTTGTGAGAATTCAGAGCTCTATGATTCACTTAATTTATTAGATCACAAACCATCATCATCAGTAACAGTAAAAGCTATTTTATAAAAAAAAATTTTATTTCAGCTGTAACAAGCATCAGATAAGGTTGTTATAATGTATATACATAAAGATGAATATGCATGTATACAATGTGCCAAAATGGTGGGTTTCAATAATAAATAAATAATAAATTTCCTGAGCACTCAAAAGTCTACTTATCTAGCCTTATATCCACTTTCTGAGAGACTCTCTGCTCTAGCTAAATTAAACTATCACATTTATTATTCTTTGGATATAATGAATTTTCCTATCTCTGTATCTTATTTGCTTTCTCTGCCTAGTAGGTTTTTGCTTTTCAAAAGCCTATTTAATTTTCAAATTCTATCTTAAAATATAAACCCTGCCCTGGTCTTCCCAATCAAGAATTATCTGGCTCTCTTCTAAGTCCCTGTATTTTCATAATTTTAATGAGCTTTGTATCAAGGCAGCATTTTGGTTATTTTACCACACTCCGTGTCATTTATACCTACTCCCTGCCCTGCCCCAGATGTTCAGATTCTTATAACAGTGCCATCGCTCATCCAGCTCACCCACATTTGTATGCTTGTAGTGCTTCAGCACTCAATGCATGTATGTGTGTGCTTTTAATCTACTGAATGGACTTGAATTAAATCAGAAACAATGAATAAGGATAAGGATATAAGATGACATTTCAAAATTATACTTTACATTATCCATTTATTATTGTGCCAGTATGCAAATCGAATAGAATTTACTCTTTCAGAAGCAAGTACATCAGGCCCACATTGTAGACACCAAGAATGGGTAAAATCTATCATACAATGAATAAAGTGTAAGAGGCAATCATGCCACTTAAGAGAAATCATAATCACTCTCTCCTGGTTGAAATCCAGTTTTCACCCAAATCTCACTGATGAAAAGCAATACATATTTAAATTTTCACCCCTTTATTATCTTTCCTTGTGTACCATTATCTGCTGAGCTCTGAGAAACTGATGTTTGTGACACAGTAGCCTTTTCTGACTGGTTCTCTTGAGCGGGAATGGCGAGCAATTGGTGACATAGTCCAACTTTGCTATGTGGAAGAAATACATTCTTACTAGCAACTTGAAGCTTGAAGAAGTATTTATGAGAAAAAAAATAATCAAGGCTCTAAATAAAACTACTTTTAGAGTTGACTTTACGTTATCTACAGGGCATAACCATGAATCCTTCACAAACCACAGATTTTATTTGCTTATGTCCAGTGAGGGGAGTTCTTTGTGGATGCTTGCATAGCAATTTTCAGCAGTTCTATTGATGGCACGCATTGTCAAAATCAACCTGAATTGCTCTGATTTCTTAGGATTCCTTTATTTCAGTCCCGATAATGCAAAACTTGCTCCAGAACTTTTTAATAGCGCCTCAAGGCCAATGATCTGTTTGACAGGAGAGACAATGGGACATGCAGTTGCAACTGTGTCATAAGAACGTTGTTCCTACTTATGTGTATTTTATTTAGGGTGTCTTGGGATATCGATCCTCTTCAAGTCAAGAAGACAGAAAAAGAAAATATAAGTTGTTATGGAGGCTATATCGATTTAAACCTTTGTTACTTTTATATTTTTATAGGACAAGGAGGGATCTTCAAAACCCCAAAATGAAGTTGCCAATGACATTCCGGTGCCTGGCACTGTTCGTTCTTCTGAATGTAAGTCAAACAGAATTATTCTAAGACATCAAGAATGCCAAATAGGGAAGAATGTTTGTGTGTGATCGAATTGGCATGCGCAAGGATAGGCATTCTTCTAAACTGTCATTTAAAAATATTTCATTAACAAATCTTCTTCTTGAACTTTCACTAATTTAGATTAGTCCCATTGTTTTCCCAGAAATTTGAGTTTTGTCTATTTACAAAATTTCATGTTCATTTGAAACACCTCTGTATTATCTTGGAAATAAGCATGAAGGTTGATGACGTTCTCGTATAAAATGTTTTTCCTGTTTGACATGTGTATTTGAGTCATAGTTTCATGGCTGTACAGTACTTTTAAAACATCTGATCTCCATTAGTCTGGTTATTCACTTCAAATATATATCTCATCAAAAACTAAGAATATCCAAGTCTTTACATACCACTGTCAATCCATAACTTTCTCTAGCCTTTTAAAACGTTTAATTTGTGTCATTTTATATTGTTTTTTCCTAAAAAATGCAGTTTATTAGAAGTAATTGTTTTAGAAAACACTATCAATGTCTAGTGGGTTAACAACATTGTTAACCCACAATCACATCAGTTTCAATAGCACATGAGAAGGAGAAGGGTGAATTCCATGTAAATCAATCTGGAGTTGTCTCAATCCTTACTCTTTCACCACATCAGAATAACATGTGTCAATGAACTGGCAGTAGAGGTCACTTAGGATTTTATACTATGATACTGACGCAAGCTAAACTTGTCCAGGGTTCCAGGATTTCCATTATTCATCAGTGTGAGATTGCAGGCTTACAAGTCCACCTAAACTGCTTCTTTTTACATTATTTAAGAAAAAAATATTACTAGTGTTCCATAAATGTTAATTTAATTTGTAAGAGAATTTTTATATTGTAACATTATACTTCAAATGAATGGTTTACAGGGATGATTGTTAATGCAATCCTTTTATGCTTTTTTTGGATAATGGGCATAGTTTATTATATCAGACTGTCCAATTATTTTAACCTATTAAATATTTCTTTAGATAAATTACAGTATAATTTTCTTAAAGTAATCCAGTTTCTAGAAGTGTACATTACTTCATGCCATTGGAAATCTAAGAAAAATACAAAAGAATATTGTAAAGTAATAGAATAGTTTATCTTGTTGATAAATGTCCAAGCCCTATGTGCTATTGTATAGATGCAGAATAATGGTATATATTATTCATAAATCTATGGTTATTTTTAATATCTCAAATGAAATCCTATGTCATAGCATATATGTGAATAGTTCTAAATAATTTGTACCATAAAGTGTATAATTATATTGGACATGGTAGAAGAAAAACTAAAGAAATCACTAAATATTAAACAAAATACATTAAACTATAGATTATTTGAGTGTATTAAAAAACTAAAACACTGGGCTGGGGTTGTTACTCAGCTATAGAGCACTAGCCTAGAACATGGGAGGCCCTGGGTTTGATCCTCAGCACCACATAAAAATAAATAAAATAAAGGTATTGTGTTTAATTACAACTAAAAAATAAAGATTTTTTAAAAAAACTAAAACATAATTTTTACTTATCTTCCAACTTAAATAATGAAAAATTGCATATATTTATATGAGTTATAGATAGAAATATTTTATGGTTTGGAGGCATTTCTTGACCAGCAACATAAGTGAGCACAGTACTTTGTGCTCTCTTTGCTGTATTTGGATTATATATGTCATCTGGAGAATATTTTAATAAAACAAAATTCTGCAAGACTCTAATTTTAAAAAACAACTAAGTGAATAGCAGGAAGATCAGTAGAATAGAAGGAAGGGAGCGAGGCATTTAAAGGCAGGGAGGAGAAGGGGAAGTACTAGGGACTGAATCAGAACAAATCATATTCTGTGCTTTTATAATTATACCAAAATTAATTTTATTGTCATGTTTAACTAAAAAGAACCAATAAAAAATAATTTTATAAACTGCATCTCAAAAAATAGCATACAGATAAAATATTTTTGTTCCAAAGATTCATTTTGTTCCACATTGGTAACTTAAAAATGGCAGTGGTCTTAATCCACCTAGTAACTTTTTACATAATACACTGTTGTGAAAAACCACTGCCAGTATATTTATTAAATTCTACCAACTGTTTTCCACATGGTCTTGTAAAGTATGGTTCTGGGCCATCACCTTCCCTTTGGTGATGTCTTCCCCATTAACCAAATCCATGCACTTTCTCTTCCTTCTCTGAGGTAATGTAACAGGGTTTGGATAGGAGTTGATAGATTGTGAGCGCTCAAAAAAAAATATTATCGATGTGGATGGATAGTAACAATGATGAGGACATAGAAAAACTAGGTGGGAGCATTTAGTTCTTGTTATTTGTTTACTTAGCTGCATTTCCCTAGAAAGTACATAGGACACCAACTAGGCATCTGATCCTACCTGGAAGAACCAGGTACAACATTGTATATTTTACAACACTGTTATTTTGAAAAGTTTAACTGAAAACTCCAAATAATTATAACATGTACATTACAAATATTTAGGATGATGACATAGATCTACTGTTTTTTTTACATCAATTTGTGGATCCTTGATTCAAGTTCTTTTTATTACTAAATATTATTTGCATTGTATAAATGTATGAGGTCACATGATAATACATGTTTACAGTTTTTAATGGCCAAATCAGCATACTTAACATTTCCATCTCCTTAAACATTAAAAAAACTTATTACCACATGTGCTTTTTAGTGCAGTTCTGCCCATGTCCATCAATAGGAAACTTTCCCTTCAGCACGATAGCTTGGGCTTGAGCCATTGCAGAGATGGCACATTTTTCAAAGTTCCAGACTAAACAGCACTATAACTATTTTGTCTGTGTACTTCTAGAAACTACCTTGAACCCAAAACAGACTGATGTCTGATATATAAGTAAGAATTGCCTCCACATGTGGCCAGTTCAAAGCAGATTACTTTCCTCTCTGTGGTTAGCGTGGATGAAACCTAGAATGTAAGCTCCATGAGGGCAGGGACCTTGCCAGTCTTGTTCACTGTTAAATTTCTGGAACCCAGAATGGGATCTGGAGTGTGGGAGGCACTTCAAGTATTTATTCACCAAAAGAACCAATGAGGATCAGCTGCTGATTACTGGTGGCAGCGTGGCTGTTGGATATATGGCGTCATTTACTTGAACTTTTGGAAGTGACATCAAATATCCAGCAGCTAAACTGCCATGGGGGACAACAGTTAAGAGAGAGATTGTTAGTTTGTTTAAGAATCATGTGAGATTGTTTATAGGCAAAATTCGAACATTAGTCTTTTCTCAAACAAGCAATATACCCTTAAGGTAGCATTTCTATCTTCATTTAAGCATAGAATCATATATTTATTTAAATCTCTCAAACACATAACATACATAACAGTTGTGATAAGTAGAATATTTTTTTAGCTTTCACATTATGTGATCATTCTAATTACAACTGGTATTATTTTGAGTCTTTACTGCTAAAAATAATACTACCTCACTAACAATTTTTATTTGTATGAAATTATCAGAAAAAAACTTAATATTTTTAAAGAATTTTATTAAATTTGTAACTTTATAGATATATATACACATATATGTTGTAATTGAAAAGATAATGCTGGAAAAAAATCAACTTTTTATAATCACATACATAATTGTACATCTATATCTTTTTATCTATTCATCATCTATCCATCCATCATCTATTCATCCATCTACTTATCCATCCATATATTTATTCATCTATCTACCATTCACCTAGCCATCTATCAATTCATCTACCCATCCATCTAGACATCTATCCATTCATCTACCTATCCATTCATATATTTATCTATCAATATTAATTCATCTATCTATCCACCTATTCATCATCTACATATCCATCTACCCATCCATCTAGACATCTATTCATCATCTACCTATTCATCTACCCATCCATCTATCCATCTATTCATCATCTACCTGTCCATCCATTTATCTATCCATCTAACTCTCTAGCTATCCATTTATTTATATATCCCTTCATCTAACCATCCATCTATTCATCTGTTTATCCATATATCCGTCCAGTTATATATCTATCCATCTATATCTTTATTTATCTATTCATCTATCTATCCATAAGTAGAATGCCACAATTTTTATGTTATTTTAGGAACTCATAAAGACATTCAGCTACCATTGGGAACATTCCATCTTCATGGCTCAAACATGGACCAGCCCAGAAGCAGACTGTGATTGCTATGGCTCATCTAACAACAAAGATTCTGATTTTCATTCCTTCAGTGTTGAAACAATCTCTACTGAACCAGGCTCCAAACCAAGTTCACTGGAGTTTGTTTCAATATTGCAAGAATGATAAAATTGAAGCTACTGTCATCGACATGATCTACACCTACTCTTATTCAGATGTTCATATGTCCACTGTTACTGATGTTAAAATGAATTAAATCAAATAAAGATGTAATTGAAAATATAAGTATTGAGTGTTTCACTTAATATCTTTGTACATACAATTTCCCACGGCTTCAGTGAATTTGCAGCTAGTACTGGAACATATTTTAATTGGTTGTCAGCCATTTAAAGACAGAATTCAGAATGTTACTTCTGGAAAGAAAGCCAACCTTAAGGAAAATAGTTCCTAATGTCTAAAACATCTAATATATAGGAGGAGATATATATGTATGTATGTTTATATTTGTTTATGTACATACATATACACACATATATTTGGTGATTCATATTCTAATTTTATTTGAAAAAGCTGAGAAGTTAGTCCATAAATTAATAATATATCAAATGAGAATTTTCATATTAACTGAAGAATTTAAGAATTGAAGCACAAAAGAAGTATCTAAAATAAATGCACACATCATTAATATCTCTATTGTAAGGACACCCTGATGCTTCCTTTCTTTGATGGTTCCACCATATTTAGTTGCATTTTTAAAGCACACACACATACACACAACACTCAAAAATGTAAAATAATTAAATACAAAAAGAATTCATAACATGGAATATTCTCAGTGTACTCTTTTTTAAAGTTTCACAAATCATTCCAATTCATAATGGAATATTTCAGAGTTTTATGACTGGTGATTATTTTATATTCACAATTTCTGTTAGAATATTTTGTAGTGCTGGTCTTTGTTTGCTAAATTGTAAGCTCCAGGAGAGCAGGATCCACATTTGTTTTATTCAGCACTGTATCTTCAATGTTTGACTTACCAAGTTCAGTGGGTGTTTTCTGACAAGTTAACCTGAAAGCCAGTGAGAAAAGTCACATGTCAACAGAATTAGGTTTGACTACATGGGTAAAAGGTTTGCACATATGTAAAAATGTTGTGGATTCATTAATTTCTCTTCTGTCATAAATTCAAGAGACGTTAAAAATAGAAGTAGCCTATTTAAAGAGTAGTGTCAACTTAATTCACAGTGAATGTCCACTTAGCAGCTATAACAGTAATAAGTGTTCATCCTCTTCTCTTTGCAAGCAACTTCTGAGTACCAGAGGACATCTACAAACCAGTTCCAAAATAGAACTTACCTTCTTTCCTCCCTCCCACTACCAAGGTTTTCCTTTTCGGATCCCTTCCTTTCTGGGGAACTATCATTTGTTCATTTACATAGTAGGCTAAACATTCAGGCTCTTTGACTGTGGCCACTTTCCAGTACTTAGACTCACACATCTTTATTATTCCGGGAGATGCTGAGAGTTGTATTCTCCATCTATCAATGAACTCAGTCCAGGCCTTTAGCTTCCCAGTTCCCCTCCCAGTTCTAACCTGTGGACACTGATGCCTGCCATGTGGATTACACTAAAATTATCCTTTTACAGCCTTCACTGATCAAAAACCTACAAAATATATTTTATTTTATATCATGTTTTGATAATATTATCTAAAAAAGTATTAAGCTTTTCAAGTACCAGGCATTTTGTATTTGTTTTCTTGTTTATTCTCACCATACCCATAGAAGTTTAATATTACTACAAATACAACTTAGACCTGGAGAGGTTGCCAATCTGTTCAAAATGACAGTACAAGATAGTTCAAGAACTTTTTTTTTTTTTTTTGGTACCTTCAGACTCCTTAATCCCATTTCTTAGTTAAAGTTAAATGAGTTCCCCTTCAGGCAGTGTGGCTCTATTCCAGTGTTTCACATGTGCTGTTTCCTACCTCTGGATTCTTACACATTCTCTTCCCTTCATCTTTAAGCCCTACTATTTTTTTTCTCTGCCTAAACAGACACTACATATCTCAAGGTCCAGTTCAGATTCTGCCATGTATCTGTGACCACCCCTAATTTGCTCCATACTCTCTCCCTGTTCAGAATTTCAATTGTATTTTGTACCACACAGCTTAGCATGTAGTGATGAGCTCACACAGAAGATACAGGATGACACCCACTGGGAAAGAGGGAGGCTTCACAAGAGTAACCTGGGTGCACAGGTCAACTTAATGGCAACAGGTTTCATTTTAGAGACTAGGGAATACAGGAGAGAACAGTAGACTATTTTTGCCATAATACACATGGGAAAACTTCAACCTGGGAACAATTTAGACAGAATAAGGTCAAATAAACATGTGCTATATTGTATGTGATAGAAAGCAATATTCTGAACTTCAGGAAAAGGAAAGTCAGTGTAGACTAAAGTTTCTAGGTTTTCTAAAAACAAAACAAAATATAGATATGCAGGGTGTAAATATTTTTTTTAAAAAATCAGATTCAAGCACCACGAAGAATATCAGTCATAGTCACAAAAGAAATTGAACTTCATATAAACACAAGTTAGGGTAATATGACACACCATGATCTTTTCATACAAACACATCAACTTTGATAACCAGAGAGCTGTGATGGTGATGGAGATTAATCAGAACTGAACAAAAACTCATGTCAACCTGTATTGAAAATGCAAGTATGCCAATATAAATATTTAAAAATTAAATTGATTTTCATCAGAAAAAAATTGAATAGTCCTGTGTAGGTCATGTGCTAATGAAACCAATTTAAAAAGATTAAAGTCAGTTATCAAGGGATAACTTTGTTCTATGGAATACATGGCAGATTTCTGGCAGCATTCACAACCTAAGCACAACCAAAAATTCATCTGAAAAAAATGTCCCATAAATGAAGCATCTTATTTTACTGTATAGTTTTAAATAACATGATCCATGATTCTTAAGAATTCCAAAGAAGGCAAAGTTGGTTTATTTTGGGCAATTTTCTGAAATCGTGTTATGTACTTTGTTTACTTCTAAACTTTACCATGATCAGAGAATTAAAACAGTCCTAGATGCTAGAGAGATGTGTGCGTGTGTGTGGATGCTCTCCATTTTCAACAATGAATAGATACTGGTACAAATATAGAATTTGTAGCTAGAATTTGTGTAGGAAATGTAAATACACTTTTTAGTTATAAAGCAAAAATATTCTACCTGGAGGAGATCAGGAATAAGTGTTGCTTTTGGAAGGAATAGTAAGGTGTTTTCAGACTCTTTGGTTATCTCATTTGTGTGTCCACGCATCTCTTCTCTCTACAATTAACCGATTTTCCTTTTAATACAGCACCCAACTCCAATTCTTCCTGCCTATTCCAATCTCACTGATCCGACAACTATGACTGAGCCATACCTGTATATCATTGGCCGCCAGAGGATGATGGATGCCCAGTACAAATGCTATGACCGCATGCAGAATATGCCACCATACGAAGGAGAAGGTAAAGAGAAAATATATGTGAACATATGTTTGAAATATCATTAAAGACTTGTTTCTTTCCATGGGTGGAGATGTGGTAGATAATTTAAATTTAATACACCAGAATTTTCCACACTGTGGTATCTTTATATGTTTCACATGAGATATGCCTATCGCTTCTCAACTTCATCTGGCTTCTTTTTGGTTAGCATCTGCCTGCAGGATGAAATCACTACAGTAACTCTGGATTCACTCCTGGCAAGCAGGACAATACAGGATTAAGTGAGGGAGGGGAGGAGGAAAATGACAAGAACAGGAAGTGGAAGGTGGTGGGCAGAGAATTTGCCTGAGGTGGAGCCTATCAAACACTCTTCTTCGACTGGGGTTGTAGCTCAGTGGTAGAGCACTTGCCCGACATGCAAGTGCAAGGCCCTGGGTTTGATCCTCAGCACCACATAAAAATAAATAAAATATTGTGTCCAACTACAACTAAAACAATATTTTTTAAAAAGAACACTCTTATTTGGCTTAATTAGGCATAGGGTTTTTTCCCTGTCAATTGGTTGGCAATCCATGCTCTTTCTTCTCCCTTTCTACCCCAAGTTCCCAGGAGAATTAGAAAAACCACATCTTCTCAGCAAACATGGTTTCTCTATCACCTTCTCTAGAATGTTCTATGTGACTGCTGAAACATTTTCAGGGATCAGCATATTCAATTTGCTGTTGAAGGCTCAGAAGAAAATAAAAGAGAGGTTGTTCAAGCATTTGAACACCCATTTAAATTCTTTCCCATGCCTCCTGAAACATTTGAAAAAAATCCAACAAGACCTTGTACAACCTTATGCATTCTAAGACAACCCTACTTGTCAAGGGGGGAAATGGTTAAATATACTCTACTGCTACACATGGTTTCCTTCCAAATGGTTAAAGTTCATGGTTCCTATTTTTAGCATTTCCTTTAAACAGAAAAATAAAATCCAAGTCAATTAAAGACAAGTATATGTTATTCTTTTGTCTGTGGTAGTTTCAGTGTTTATCAAGAATTGAAAGGGCATTAGATGCAACTCTATCCAAAGGCAAAATCATTTCTTTGAAAGAAATGAGACACACACACACACACACACACCCAAACCCTGTTATTTTCAGAGACCAACTGAGTGCAATCTGTTTCACTTTAGTCTTAGTCACCTTGGGAGGTTGAATTTTTATTCTATGATCATTGTATTTTTTTTAAAAAATTGTTTTGAGAACTGCCTTCAAAGCCTGAGACTCATTCTTTTTGAATACCTTTATAGAGGCACATTTTCCTGTAAGAAACCACTTGGAGCCAATGTAGATGAGTACATAAAGTGGTCAAACTGAGCATTATTTCAGTTAGTAACAAAGTGTAATTCTAAGATAATAAGACTTTTAAAATGTGATTCACTAACTGGCTGTAAGTGCAAATCCAATAGGAATTTTGAACAATTCCAACACACTTGGATTAAGAATATCACTACTCAAGGTAACCCTTTGAAGGTTAATAGTAAGATCTTTATGTTCTAAAGCCATATTGATGTTTACAAGCAAAGCTTTATCCAGATATGAACTTGCAAATACTTTCACAAGAGTTCCTCCTAGTATTTCTAAAAGTTTTTTAAAGTACAGCTTTTGAAGGAAAGGTTAAATGCATAATACACTTATTTCTTTTAAGGAACAAACAGAGTAAACCCTACAAAAATGTAAATTCCATTAATAATACGTAAAGTGAATATCTTTATTTAGTTGTTGCTGCTGCTGTCACTGTTTTTAACATTTCCATATCCAGTGGATTCCAGAATAAAATATGCTTAATTATCTATGCATAGAAAAATCCTACTAAGGATTTCACAATTTTTAATAACTTTCAATTGTATGTTACTCTTCTAATTTAAGTCCAGCCCCCCAAATAAGACATTGAGTTGTGAGAACCAGACTACTATGCATAAAATTCAGTATCTCTTGTCAATTCCTAGAATTCAATGTTTATAAATAAATAAATGTACTATTTAAAGAGAAGACTTATTAGATGCAATATGCTGATAAGCTTTACAAAATTTATTCATCGAAATTTATTTCAAATTTTTAAAAATTAATTGGTGTCATGAATTTTTTTCAAGTAATGGTGTCTTACTGAGTTGTTCTTCAAATCCTTATTATGTTGATAGTGGTAGAAAAACAGCCTACCGCACAAGAATTGCAAGGCCTGCAAACCTAAATCCACTTTCCTGGTTGGATATTTTAGAGAATAACATTTTAGGTGGTGAATAATTTATTAACACATCTCAAAACCATTTGATTTAACAACCAACCTATGTCTTAGATTTATCACACCATTAAATAAATAGAGAGCAGAGTTAAATGCAGTTTTTGCATTCACTTTCTTTTTGATAAGTGCAGTTGTGGAAACTCTTACAAAGTAGGACTAGAACCCTGCCTTTCAGCCAGGGAAATAATTTAGACACAGATATTCTAAGCTATTTGAAACTTTATTTTCATGACAGTGACTGATTCATTTGAAATGTGGGTCATCATGACCAGAGCAGTGGGATCAGCTACATGTAGGATTGCCCTAAGACCACTCTTCTCTTTTCATTTTAATTTTATTTAATAAATTTATAAATATTAATTTCTTTCTAAATGCCCAGGTCCGTACTGCAACCGCACCTGGGATGGCTGGATGTGCTGGGATGACACTCCGGCTGGAATGTTGACCTCCCAGTACTGCCCCAATTACTTTCCGGATTTTGACCCCACAGGTAAAATATATATTTTTGTTATGAAGCTTTTGGAGTTTACATAGATCAAAAATTTTAATCACCTATAAAATATATCTATCTAGTCATACTCCAAGTTTTATTACATTTTGAAGCGTTTCCTTAATTAAAATATTATTCAGGCTGTACAAATACTACAAGTTGTGTTTATTTTTTAAGTCATATTGCTGGCTATTAAGGCATATTGGTATTACATTCTGGTCTATAAAATTATCTCAAAAACTTTATAAAATTTTTATCTAAATGTAGGTTTAAAATTTTTTTTTCAATTGTCACATTCAGTAATTTATACAAAATCTGGATGTAGAGTTTGCATACACTGGGATGGTATGATGTACACAATGGAAATTCTAAATAACCTTGAAAATGTTTAACTAAATGTCTAATAGCTCTAGACATCAAATTTCTGTTCCAACCTCAGATTATTGAAATATGTTCAATAAGTAAGACTGATAGTGCAATAATTGATTAAACGGAAACCCAACTCTGAACTTGGGACCAACAATGACAACTGACAGATATGTTAAGTAAATGAGTGCCACTGAAATCACTTTAGTTGTAAAAGCTACGTATGAATGCTCTTCGTTAAATACCAAAATATTCAATGTGTATAAAAATATCAACATTATTTTCAAAATATCTCCTTTACCTAACTCTCTCTATATAATTAGGCACAACAGTTTAGAAAATCAGTTGAGAACTGTTATTTCTCAATCTTCATATCAACTCATGCAGATTGAAATACTTGCAGAACTTTTGAGGCTTCAATCTTGTCACCCTGCATGGTTAGGAATCAAGCTGGGATGCTCAATCAGGGAGAAGGTCTAGGAGGAGAAGATTCCAGGGGAGAAGTTTCCAAGTATATTGAGAAATTGAAGGACTGAAGTCACATGTTTCTGAATTGTCAGGTATTCATAAGCAGGTTGGAGGTGTGTACCAGAATTAGTGCTCAGGAGCAATGCAGAGTATTGACAGCATCACTCCAGAGACTAAGCAGATGGATGGAAGTAGAAACTGGGACTGGGTAGTAGGAAGTAAACGATTCTCTGCTTAACTGAGAAGCTGGGAAATTACAAAAAAAATAAAATAGAAAAAGATCTCCATGCTAAGTATCACCCAGAGATTCTGATTTAATGGGAGTAGATATTGGGAGTAGAAGTACAGCCTGGATATCAGGAGTTTTGAAAAGTTCTGCTGAAATTCAATGTAGAGCCAGGATGGGAAACCAAGGGGACAATTAAAGTCCAGGTAAGAAGGTGGTCAGAGCCAGGGAGGCTCATCCAAGTGCCCAGGTAGCTGTGCCCATGGGAGGCAGAATGTGACCTCAGAAGAGGCTGATACATTTCTAGAAAACAGGGAGATATCAGAGGGTGGGAGAAGGCAGCCACCCAGTTCCAGGCACTGTTGCTGACAGGCCAGAAAAATCCTGTCCCAAGAAACTAGAAAGAAATATGTCCTGCTAAAATAAATCTGGAACAAAGATCCTAGAAGGGGGATGAGAATGTTAGTTATGAAAGAGGCTCAGATGCTGAAACTAGATGGGATCAGCTACAGATGCAATCTGTTAAGTCCCTTTGAAATGGTGAGACTCTTTTCCTGAAAGCAAAATGTTCACTCTAGTGGTTCAGAGGACATTTAAGTGGCTCTAGAATCCCAATTAGAGCAGAGAAATGAGTCCATCCCTGGACAAGGTTTGGAAGACATTATTTGCATCTTCCTTCAAGGGAATATCTGATTTGTTCCTGAAACCACAAAGTTCCACCTAAGCAAGGCAGGGGTAATAGAAGTAGAATTACAGGGAGCTTCTTTTAAAACCAGTGTCGGCCAGCCACTTCTGGAAATTCCTATTTTGATGCAAGAGTTGAGATGTGAAAAAAGAAGGGGCTCTGTCCAGTGCCCTAACTCAAAGCTACATTCCTACAAACTCTGAGTAAAATGCTACTTAATGATAATCCTTTGGTTCTTTATTGAGTCTTCCCAATAAATGATGCTTCATTAATCTTGATTTGACAACTACATTAGAGGTAATTTGATTGGCATAAAGCACCATTCTGCAATTGAGGCTACTAGACCAGTTCCAAAGTGGCAGCAGGCTCCTGCCAAAGCGACTATAAATATTGACTAAAAAGCAAGGTTTTGATCAGCAAAATAGAGATTTCCAGGCACAGATCCATCTTTTAAGCCTTGTTTTTAGATGGAACCCTCTCAGTTGGGAGATAAATCCATTTTCACAAACTACCTAGTAAAAATGTCTATATTCAACAAACAAATTATTTAGGATTTTATTATTGCTCTAAAAGCTACATCTTAATGATGTACAAAAAATTTAATAAAATGCCAGTCATTTCATTTTGGAAAAAGCGCCTTGTGAAAGACAAATAAATAGTGAAAGAGGAAAGAACAGTATTGAAATTCAGAAAAAGATGACAGTGTATAGGAAGATGCTAATAGAGCAAAATTGAACAGAGGTACTTAAGGCCCTGCACTTGGAGTCAAGCAATCAACAGTGCCAACAAGGTCAACATGTGGTTTAGGACAGGGCTGCTCAACCCTCATTCCTTTAGAATTGGTCTTGAGGTCTATCCATAAGTGGAATGGACTTCTTCAGGAGAATACCCCTTCTTTTGAACACAGAAGTTTCCCCTCTGCTTGCTACAGAGCTAATTTCTAACAATATAGTAAAGGTAAAATATTGCCATTAAAATCAGTTTTTTAAAATTCCAAGTATGCTTGGAATGATCACCATCAACAATTAGCATTAGCAAAATCATGAATAAATTTTTATAAAAATGGTGGAAATTTGTAATGTGCTAATTACAAATTCACTAACTAACACCTAAAGACGTTTAAAGAAGCAAATAGTAAAGGTGAAAGCTATGAATCCCAACATGCATTTTAAAGTGAAGAGACACAAATAAAAAAAAAATCTTTTTCAGAGGTGGAAAAATGACCTCTTAATGTAACCCCCCCCTTAGTTTGGGATTTCTGTTGGATTTAACCATATGAAATTGCAAATATTTGACCATTTGACCCACAGTTTCATATAGTCAGTCTTATAAAAATATTACAAACAAATGAAGAAAGATATGGTCTCCCTGTTCTCATATACTTCCCATTTATAAGCAGAAATTTGTCTGCTAAAAATATGAATTAGAGTATGGGTAGCACTTTGGAGGCCAGCAGACTTGGATTTAAATCTTGGATCAATCCTGGATTAATGACCTTTTCAAATTCTGTAACCCCTCCCCATCTGCCTCCAGTTAGTACATTAGAAATGGCAACCTCTGCTTCCCAATGCTCCGTTGAAGATAAAATGAGACAACACATATTAAAATACTTTATATAACCCATGATCCATATGAACTCTACTGACTGATGATCACATTCAAGTTCTACAGATGATTAGCACTTTGAAATAGCTTGTAAGCTTTAACTTACTATTCTTTTTCCCTTAGGATTTTGAGGTATTAATGTTTTGATTATTATGTTTCATTAACAGAAAGGGTCACAAAATACTGTGATGAGAACGGGGTTTGGTTCAAACATCCCCACAACAATCGAACCTGGACCAACTATACCCTGTGTAACGCGTTCACTCCTGAGAAGCTGCAGGTGGGTTCTGTTTCAAATTTCAGTACTGGATGAAAATGCCATTATTTATATGCGGAAATGGGTATATAACTTTAAAATACCTGCTACTCAGAAGCCAAATGATTTTTATGGAAGGAAATCAGTGGTGACCTATAAATTAGGCTTTCTATGAAGTAGCATTAGAGAAAATGTCAATTCCTTTCTTAGTGTTTAATCTCAAAGGTACCTCCAAGAACATATGGAATCCCACCATTTGTGACAAAGCAGATAGTATCCATGAAACAGATAATGGGATCCCCTCTGATGCCAGAAACTAGGCACACTCCTGTAATCCCAGAGACTCAGGAGGCTGAGGCAGGAGAATTGCCAGTTCAAAGCCAGCCTCAACAACTTAGGAAGGCCCTAAGCAATTTTAGCAAGACTCCAAACAATCTAATGAGCCCCC